ACAGGACCAGCTTCACCTTCCAGCAGAGCTCTACATAGGGGCTTAGAAAGAAATCTGGTGTCTCTTTTTTCATATCTAGGCTTGCCTTTCTTCTTGGCTGACTCCACTCTCAGGTAGACCGCAGCCTCCTGGAATAAAGTCCATTTTTTCCTCTCCCAGCATTCATGGCAAAGATTTCACTGGGCCTTTTTTCCCCTTGTCGTGCTTGAGGGCCTGCAGATCGGCCATGGCCACAGGTCTCTGCTCCCCAAGATGGGCTTTGTTAAAGTTGTCAAGAGTAAGGCCTACTTTAAGAGATACCAAGTGAAATTTAAAAGACGACGAGAAGATAAAACTGATTACTACGCTTGGTGATTCGGGATAAAAAGAAATACGACATGGGACCGGCAGGTGGTGTGAGTGTTAAGGCAGCTGGACTCCCACGTGGCTGACCATGGTTCGAGTCCTGGACTTGGCAGCTTGCTTTCTCACTTTCCTTCTCTCTCTTTCTGGTCAACTTCGAAAAAATAAAATAATGACAATGAATACAATTAAATAAAATAATTCTTAAAAAAGAATCAGTACGGGAACCAGCAGTTAGTGTAATGGCTATGTCGCTGGACTCCCACGTAGTCGACTGTGGTTCGTGTCCCAGACCCGGTGGCTTAAAACTCACGCCGGGCGCGTGTGCGTGCGTGCCCAAGATCCCGAGAGGAGAATGGAGGAGAAGGGGATTGCGGCGTGACCATCCCCCCTGGGGAGTGATTTCTAGCTTTCTGTCTCTATGTCTCTCTCTGTCTGTCTGGCGAGCGCACGCGCCCTACAGTGAAAATCTCTCAAAAAAAAAAAAAAAAAAAAAAATCAGTACCACACACCCAAATACAGGATGATATAGTTCATGTAACTAACAGAGATATCATTTGTCAGGTTGCTCATGCCCATGTAGAAGGGGGTACGATAGTCTGCGCAGCTTATGCCCACAAACGACCAAAATACAAAAATACAGTGTGAAGGCTGGTCTGATGAATGATGCTGCAGCATACTGCACTGGCCTGCTGCTGGCCCGCAGGCTTCTCAGTAGGTTTGGCATGGACAAGCTCTATGAAGGTCAAGTGGAAGTGACCGGAGATGAGTACAATGTAGAAAGCATCGATGGTCAACCTGGTGCCTGCACCTGCTGTTTGGATGCAGGCCTTGCCAGAACCACCACTGGCAATAAAGTTTATGGGGCCCTGAAGGGAGCAGTGGATGGAGGCTTATCTATCCCTCACAGTACCAAACCATTCCCCGGTTGATTCCGAAAGCAAGGGATTTAATGAGGAAGTCTGTTGGAAGCACATCATGGGCCAGAACGTTGCGGATTATATGTGTTAACTAATGGAAGAAGATGAGGACGCTTACGAGAACCATTTCTCTCAGTGCAGAAAGAACAATGTAATTTTGGACATGATGGAGATGTGTAAGAAAGCTCACACTGCTATACGAGAGAACCCAGTCTATGAAAAGAAGCCCAAGAAAGAAGTTAGAAAGAAGAGGTGGAATTGTCCCAAAATGTCCCTTGCCCAGAAGAAAGACTGGGTAGCCCAGAAGAAGGCAAGCTTCCTCAGAGCTCAGAAGCAGGCTGCTGAGAGCTAAACCAAACAATTTTCTATGATGTCATTCCAAATAAAACTTAACAACAAAGCAGCAAAAACATTCACTGGGCATAGGACTCTCCTGACTCAGTTGTGGTGGTCCCTGACCTGTGGTATTCCACTGATTTAAGCCTAAGACTGTGGGCCTGGGATGGAGACCTACCCAAGGTAAAGAACTGAAAGATGGAAAGGAGAAGGTTCCCACAGGGAATCCAGGGATGGTGATGAAAGGACAAATGTTGGAAGCTGGGGGACAAAACCGCAGGTGCCTGATTCACTAACAATAATCTGCATAGCTAGCTCTTGCTATGATAATGCTACATAACAAATGACCCCACAACTCAATGGTTGCTATGGTTTGAATGTGCACCTCCAAAATCCACCTGTTGGAATTTGCTGGTATTGTGATGCTAGTCAGAGACAATCCAGCTATGGAATTAAGAGGGGGAGCCTTCAGGAGCTGTGTTAGGGTGGGGACCCCATGATTGAATCTTAGTGGGTTTATAAGGACGGGGAATGAGACAGACAGGGCCACAAGAACACACATATGCTCACTTCTGCCCTCCGCCAGGTTTCTGGACAGCAGGAAGACCCTTAGCAGATGTAGCCCTTAGACTCTGGATCTCAACAGTGAGCAGAGCAAACCTCTGGCCTTTTCCAATTAACCAGACTCAGATATTTTCTGTTATGAGCAACAGAATGGGCAAGTAGAGGGGCTTACAAAAATGAGCATTAATTACGGGTCTGCCCTTGGGTTTGTGGAGTGGTTAAGGTATCCTTGCTTCAGGCTGCAGGTGGACTAAGTTTGGTCCCAAGGTATGAGGTGGATCCACGCTTGGTCCATTTTCTCTCATCCTCCTTGGAACAACTGGGTTATGTTTTTCTCATGGTCCATGACCGGAGTGCATGGGAAAGAGCAAAAACACACCAGATCTCTTAGGCTTTGGCTCAGCACCAGCAGGCGATTAGCGTTGTCCACATTCCTTAGGCCAAAACAAATCACATGGCCAAGCCCAGCATCAGTGGGGCTGGGAAATAAACCGAAAAATAATCCAGTTTATCAGTGTCATACAAATCGAGATCAGCAATGGGATTAGAATGGGCTGCACCAAATTTCTCAAACTCCACCTACCTATGGCTTCATTCACAATTCCCCCCCGCCCACACACACACGCATGGTCATGTGTGGAAGGCATCAGCTGTGTAACATGAATCGAGTCCTTTAATCTTCCCTAATTTCGTCTTCCCTGGCCCCAGGCTTCAGATTTCCCTGTACCAAATATTTGTGACTCACTTCACCTCTCTTTGAAGCCCTGAGAGCTGGCCCTGGAACTGTGGTAGGTGGGTGTCGATAACAGGTAAATGCCTACCTGTCTGGAATGTTCTCGAAGGCTTTCTCACTGTGTATGGGAGATTGGATAGGGTGGGATTACCGCCGGAGCTCTTTCCCACTCTAAAATGCTCTGATTCGGGTATCCAGCTCAATTTCTGACAGTATGTAGTTGTATAGGATATAGGTTTGACTTACGAATCTCTGATCTCTTGCTTCCTGATCACATTTTTTTTTTTAGGTTTTTTTTTTTAGGTTTTTGCTATAGGGTGTGTGTGCTTACCAGAGAGACAAAGAGAAGTGGTGAGGGGGAAAGTGAGACATCATCCCCCAGGGGTGATGGTAATGACACAATCCCTTGTCCTCCATTCTCCTCCTGGAATTTTGGGCACACATGTGAGTTTCAAGCTACTAGATCCAGGACTCAAATCATGGTCAGCCATGTGGGAGTCCAACACCTTAGCCACTATGCCTGATGACTAATCTGAGATCCATGATGGTGTGGGACCAGTGAGCTGATGTGCTTATAAGACTGCCTTTCTACGTGCTCTGGAGAAACGTGTGAGGATTAGGAATTGGGAGAAGGCAAGTTTCTGAGAAGCATGTTTCTGTATAATGTTTGATTTTGCCCCTGGACAGCCTCAGGGAGAAGAATCACCATTGAAACATTATTTCTCCCTCCCTCCCTTCCTTCCCTCTTCCCTTGTTTAAATAGATTGCCCAAGAGAGGAAGAACAGCTCCATGTTTTCTATTCCTGTGGCTCAAAGCACTCCACGTCAGGAGGTTCTGCTTCATGTCTAACTGGATCCTCTCGCAAAAAAAAAAAAAAAAGAATCAGTACCACACACCCAAATACAGGATGGTATAGTTCATGTAACTAACAGAGATATCATTTGTCAGGTTGCTCATGCCCATGTAGAAGGGGGTACGATAGTCTGCGCAGCTTATGCCCACAAACGACCAAAATACAAAAATACAGTGTGAAGGCTGGTCTGATGAATGATGCTGCAGCATACTGCACTGGCCTGCTGCTGGCCCGCAGGCTTCTCAGTAGGTTTGGCATGGACAAGCTCTATGAAGGTCAAGTGGAAGTGACCGGAGATGAGTACAATGTAGAAAGCATCGATGGTCAACCTGGTGCCTGCACCTGCTGTTTGGATGCAGGCCTTGCCAGAACCACCACTGGCAATAAAGTTTATGGGGCCCTGAAGGGAGCAGTGGATGGAGGCTTATCTATCCCTCACAGTACCAAACCATTCCCCGGTTGATTCCGAAAGCAAGGGATTTAATGAGGAAGTCTGTTGGAAGCACATCATGGGCCAGAACGTTGCGGATTATATGTGTTAACTAATGGAAGAAGATGAGGACGCTTACGAGAACCATTTCTCTCAGTGCAGAAAGAACAATGTAATTTTGGACATGATGGAGATGTGTAAGAAAGCTCACACTGCTATACGAGAGAACCCAGTCTATGAAAAGAAGCCCAAGAAAGAAGTTAGAAAGAAGAGGTGGAATTGTCCCAAAATGTCCCTTGCCCAGAAGAAAGACTGGGTAGCCCAGAAGAAGGCAAGCTTCCTCAGAGCTCAGAAGCAGGCTGCTGAGAGCTAAACCAAACAATTTTCTATGATGTCATTCCAAATAAAACTTAACAACAAAGCAGCAAAAACATTCACTGGGCATAGGACTCTCCTGACTCAGTTGTGGTGGTCCCTGACCTGTGGTATTCCACTGATTTAAGCCTAAGACTGTGGGCCTGGGATGGAGACCTACCCAAGGTAAAGAACTGAAAGATGGAAAGGAGAAGGTTCCCACAGGGAATCCAGGGATGGTGATGAAAGGACAAATGTTGGAAGCTGGGGGACAAAACCGCAGGTGCCTGATTCACTAACAATAATCTGCATAGCTAGCTCTTGCTATGATAATGCTACATAACAAATGACCCCACAACTCAATGGTTGCTATGGTTTGAATGTGCACCTCCAAAATCCACCTGTTGGAATTTGCTGGTATTGTGATGCTAGTCAGAGACAATCCAGCTATGGAATTAAGAGGGGGAGCCTTCAGGAGCTGTGTTAGGGTGGGGACCCCATGATTGAATCTTAGTGGGTTTATAAGGACGGGGAATGAGACAGACAGGGCCACAAGAACACACATATGCTCACTTCTGCCCTCCGCCAGGTTTCTGGACAGCAGGAAGACCCTTAGCAGATGTAGCCCTTAGACTCTGGATCTCAACAGTGAGCAGAGCAAACCTCTGGCCTTTTCCAATTAACCAGACTCAGATATTTTCTGTTATGAGCAACAGAATGGGCAAGTAGAGGGGCTTACAAAAATGAGCATTAATTACGGGTCTGCCCTTGGGTTTGTGGAGTGGTTAAGGTATCCTTGCTTCAGGCTGCAGGTGGACTAAGTTTGGTCCCAAGGTATGAGGTGGATCCACGCTTGGTCCATTTTCTCTCATCCTCCTTGGAACAACTGGGTTATGTTTTTCTCATGGTCCATGACCGGAGTGCATGGGAAAGAGCAAAAACACACCAGATCTCTTAGGCTTTGGCTCAGCACCAGCAGGCGATTAGCGTTGTCCACATTCCTTAGGCCAAAACAAATCACATGGCCAAGCCCAGCATCAGTGGGGCTGGGAAATAAACCGAAAAATAATCCAGTTTATCAGTGTCATACAAATCGAGATCAGCAATGGGATTAGAATGGGCTGCACCAAATTTCTCAAACTCCACCTACCTATGGCTTCATTCACAATTCCCCCCCGCCCACACACACACGCATGGTCATGTGTGGAAGGCATCAGCTGTGTAACATGAATCGAGTCCTTTAATCTTCCCTAATTTCATCTTCCCTGGCCCCAGGCTTCAGATTTCCCTGTACCAAATATTTGTGACTCACTTCACCTCTCTTTGAAGCCCTGAGAGCTGGCCCTGGAACTGTGGTAGGTGGGTGTCGATAACAGGTAAATGCCTACCTGTCTGGAATGTTCTCGAAGGCTTTCTCACTGTGTATGGGAGATTGGATAGGGTGGGATTACCGCCGGAGCTCTTTCCCACTCTAAAATGCTCTGATTCGGGTATCCAGCTCAATTTCTGACAGTATGTAGTTGTATAGGATATAGGTTTGACTTACGAATCTCTGATCTCTTGCTTCCTGATCACATTTTTTTTTTTAGGTTTTTTTTTTTAGGTTTTTGCTATAGGGTGTGTGTGCTTACCAGAGAGACAAAGAGAAGTGGTGAGGGGGAAAGTGAGACATCATCCCCCAGGGGTGATGGTAATGACACAATCCCTTGTCCTCCATTCTCCTCCTGGAATTTTGGGCACACATGTGAGTTTCAAGCTACTAGATCCAGGACTCAAATCATGGTCAGCCATGTGGGAGTCTAACACCTTAGCCACTATGCCTGATGACTAATCTGAGATCCATGATGGTGTGGGACCAGTGAGCTGATGTGCTTATAAGACTGCCTTTCTACGTGCTCTGGAGAAACGTGTGAGGATTAGGAATTGGGAGAAGGCAAGTTTCTGAGAAGCATGTTTCTGTATAATGTTTGATTTTGCCCCTGGACAGCCTCAGGGAGAAGAATCACCATTGAAACATTATTTCTCCCTCCCTCCCTTCCTTCCCTCTTCCCTTGTTTAAATAGATTGCCCAAGAGAGGAAGAACAGCTCCATGTTTTCTATTCCTGTGGCTCAAAGCACTCCACGTCAGGAGGTTCTGCTTCATGTCTAACTGGATCCTTCATGACCCGGATAAGGGCTGTCCTTTCTCCCTTTTCAACTTTCACATCTTCACTTATGGTAGAATCAATCCATCTAGACACTGGTGTTGTGGGAACTTGGTTCATTTCATGGTTCCAAAGAGCCAGTATTTTTTTTTTTTAATTTCACATCAGCAAGCAATTATCAAATGAGTGTGATAGTCCTCGTAAGTGTGGCGGTGTTACGAGTGTTGTCTTTGGAGTCAGACCCTCTGTGTCTGATTCTGACTCTGCTGCTCACGAGCTGTATGACCTTCATGTCTAACTGGATCCTTCATGACCCGGATAAGGGCTGTCCTTTCTCCCTTTTCAACTTTCACATCTTCACTTATGGTAGAATCAATCCATCTAGACACTGGTGTTGTGGGAACTTGGTTCATTTCATGGTTCCAAAGAGCCAGTATTTTTTTTTTTAATTTCACATCAGCAAGCAATTATCAAATGAGTGTGATAGTCCTCGTAAGTGTGGCGGTGTTACGAGTGTTGTCTTTGGAGTCAGACCCTCTGTGTCTGATTCTGACTCTGCTGCTCACGAGCTGTATGACTGGAAATAATGCATTTAGCCTTTCTCGTCCTCTGCCTTCTTGTCTATAAATAAGGTCACAGTGGGACCTCTCTCAGAGGTTCTCATAAGGGATAAGTGAGTTAACACTTGTAAAGTGCTTAGTTAGAATAGTGTCTGGCACGTATGTGCTCAATACATGTTGCCTATTGTCCTTTTGAGAGGAAAGATGTAGCCACTGTCTTCAAATAACTCAGATACCAGGAAGGAAAATGCCAGTACCCATATGGAGATGTAACTGTTCTCTTGCCTAAGTCAACTAGGGGATGGGAGTGGCTACAGGGTCTTGGGAGAGAAAGGCACAAAGAGGTCAAGTTTTATTTAAGACAATATCTTCCTAAGAATTAAAATTTATCAAAAAATTAGTAAGTAATGAGCTCCCTATCAACAGAAATGTTCAGGCAAATCTCAAATACACTTTCATCTAGAATTGGAGAAATCAGGGACCAGCAGATGGTGTAATGGTTATGTCACTGGACTCCCATGTAGTCAACCACGGTTAGAGTTTTGGACCTGGCAGCTTGAAACTCACAGGTGCATGTGTGTGCCTGCCCAAAATCCTGAGAGGAGAATGGAGGAGAAGGGATTGTGGCATGGCCATCCCCCCTGGAGGGCAATTTCTCACATTCTGTCTCTGTATCTTTTATTTATTTTTTTTTTTGAGAGGTTTTTTCACTATAGGGCGCATG